AACAGACCCTGAATGGGAAAACGGCTATTGATGTGCGTACAGGAAAGGTAAGGTTTTTTTTTTTTCATGTGAACGCAGGGGAAAGGAATTGTTGGGGGGTTTTTTTGGGTCCCTCTTCTTTTTATTGCGATAGGTTTGTTGTCAGCTGATGGCATATCTTCCCGCCCAGCCCGGATCAGGAAAGTAGGAGCCACTGCACGATTGTTGTATTATGCCACTATCTTCAGGGCTGACTCAAATCATTATTCGGTCATATCTTGTCCTGTGCTAATCTGCATTTTTTTAATTAAAAAGGCTTTCATTTTACCCAACACCTCTGGTCATTCCACCTCTCTCAATTAGTTTTTTTTTCTCATGATGACTGAGATCTTCATTCACATACATGTTTGTGCTTTCCTTCTTTTCCCTTAATTTTCAAATGGCAAATTTGCTGTCTTCTTCTCTGCACTGTTACTCTCACAGCTGATTCTGTGGCACTTATCAAAATGTCATCCCTCTACAATTTGCTGTCATTCCTTTTCCTTGAATCTTTCAAGTTGTTTGACTTCAGATTTTTTTAAAAAAACCACATTTATAAAGAATCCAGATCTACTGAAAAGTAAATTTCTGAGTTTAGTGGCACTTATTCTTAATGTAAGAAGTATATGATGGGAAATTTTAGAAGTTCTGTGGAACCCAGTGAGAGTTATAGCTCAATAACCATGGATGGGACTGTGACGTTCACCTCTCTTGAAGCACCTGCTTTTTGTGCGCTCACAAAGGTTCCAGTCTTTGTTTCCCTCACTGCCACCAGTGGATTACCGCTATCCACAATATAAAAGACGTTTGTCCAAACTCTTGTCTGGTAAATGCAAACAGAACTTATTTATTGAAGTGTAGCAAAGTTAATAATAATCACAGATGTTCTTCAGATGTTCATTGTACACAAGCAAATCATTTACAGGTCTCTCTATACATACTTCTGTAAGTAGAGGGTCCACTGTACCACCTTATTTATCTTAACCAGCTTAGCTCTAGTAATATGTTCCTTCTTCGACTCTCACTGACTGACTCTTGACTGACTCCTCCTCTTAGGCCCCGCCCTTTAACCTCTCTGTTGGCTCCGCCTTTCTACCATATTAGCATATGCGTGAATAATACATGACTTATTTTGCATAACAAGGGGTGGACACTACAGGGACTGTCCTTTTTTTCTTAAAGGAGTATCCACCTGTATTTGCTACAACAGTTTTGACACTTAGAACTTTGTACGCTACCACTGGGTGTTTCCAAAAGGAATGCTTTTCTTGCTACTGGCCAAAAATCTGTGCACCTTAAAGTTGTTTCTGTGGTGGAAAAAAAGAAAAAGGAAGAAAAAGATAAAAGAGAAGAAGAGGGAAGAAGAAATAGTGCAATGTTAACAACACATAGGCAGGTTACAAACTGGAGGTGTTGCTGGCAGCCCAATTTTAACTATCTGTTAAAATTGCCTGAAAAACACTGGGCAATAATTGCACACTAAAAATTATATGTGAAAGCATCTTCTGTCTCTATAAAAACTGCCTAGTTAACTAACAAGTCAGTGAAATTTTAAAATGTACAAAATAAAGCTAATGTGTAATATTTAGGACTTCTGATTCTTCGTGAATTTCTGCAGGAGCAAAGAATAATTTGCCCCCTTTCTATTTTAGTTCACCTAAGAAGGTGCTCTATCTATGTATTGTAGTTTCTTATCAGAGTTTACTTAGCTGAGTTTCCATGTAGATTTACTGTGCAAAATATTGCAAAATATGTAATTTCAATACAGTTACTTTTGTTTTGGCCTTTCAGTTCCATGTGAGAAGTCATAATTACTCACCAGCAATATTGCTGTTCCAAGAGGCAGAAACAGAGCTCAGGTACTATCTCTTGAGGAATCATAGATTGTGAGTGATAAAGCTATGAATTCAAGCCAATTATAGTATGACACAAGTACTGTATATATTTGGATGGTGAATGATGTAATAAATGAGACAGAAAACAAAGCAGTTTCTATTTCTGACATAAGCACCATGTTCTTTTTGTAGTTTTATACATAACTGAAATTTTCCTGATTTTGGCAGGTCGTGATTCTCTAATACAAAAACTATGGCTTCAGATGATTATGTCCTCCATTTTATAGTCAAAGAAGATAACAAATGTGCAAAATGTGCAAAAAATGAAAGCCCAGTTGATTCTGTTGGAAGGCTTTCTAAGGATACCCAAAGCAACAATAGTAATAAAGCTAATAATTGTAGTAAATGCTCCAGTCAATGTGGAAGTTTTCACCTTGACTATTCCAATAACTTTCATGCTGATGATGCTTCAAGAAGGGCTAGCAGCAGCAGCAGCAGCTATTCAGAACAAAACAACTGTGGAAGCTCTCAGAACTACTATTATGATGACTTTCATACAGACTCTTCTGAAACCTCCAGTAGAAACAGAAGCAGCTGCAGAACTCCTTTAGAGCAGCTAGAAACCAAAAAAGGTGCACCACCAAAAAAGAAAATGGAAAATGATCACCAAGCCAAAGGTAAGAAGTCACCTGGCACCACTGATCACTGCTACATTCACTTATTGTTGACAAGTGAGCTACAGATGTCTGAGTCTTTTCTGGAGACTTGGCCATTGTGGTGCTTCTCTTCTTTTATTGCCTAAGTGCTCCTGAAACTGCCAGCCACTTCAGAAGTTACAATTTTTGGAAAGTCCTCATCTGTAGGTAAAAGCATTAAAACACTGGGTCATGCCTCAAACCTGTATATAAGTCTGTTCCATGTATCATTGACAAGTGAAGTAATGAATGGGAGAGAATAAAGAACGGGTCAGATATGCAGTAAAAAAGGTCACAGACAGCGGGAAGTGACTCATCTGTTGAACTAGAGTTGATTCTTCTGCTCTGTTTCAAGATATATTCTCATTAATTGTTAGAAAAGCTAGTATTTGGGCATGGCACATATTCTGTCTTTATGCAGGACAAAAGTTGACCCTTACTTTAACCTCTAATCTTTATAATCCATGTACCTATAAAATGACAGAAAAGAACTAAAATGTTATGAATTAGAATAAATAACAGTATGTCAAAAACTATTAATCTGTGTGGACAGAGTGAAGGACTAGGACTAAAGGAACCTGGGTTCAAATCCCCACTTGGCCATGAAAATTCATGGGTGGGTGTAGAAATGATAAAACCACTCCTTAAATATCTCAGTTACCTTGAAAGCCCTATTAGTGTTTCTGTAAGTTGCTTGACAGAACATAATACCTTTTACTCTAATTAATGGCTCATGCTTGGTGAGATTAATTATAAAGAAAGCTAATAAGTAAAAGATCTGACCCAAATATATTTTGCAACTGACTTATTCCCCACAACCAACATCTGCCCCCCAAAATACTGATTTCCAAATAATACCAGTTTGTTTAACTTAAAAGCTAGATTTGAGCTAGATTTGTGAAGTAAATATCTGGGAGCTGCTTATGATTTCTTCTTAACAAACAAAGCCCTGATTTGTGTTAAAGTAATAAACAAGTATCTCCTCAGAAATCGTAAGAATTTTGCACCTGTTTCTTTTGATATTTAGTGTGTTTTTATAGCAAATGCAATACACTTTAGTTTGTTTCTTCTGATGACCAACACTAGTCCATCTTTAGCCTTTTTTCCTCATTCTGTCTGTTCATCCTTCTGTATAAAAATCTTCCTTTTTCTAGGAAATCTACTTGCTTGTTAATCCTATGCTATCACCACCCTTTATCCCTTATCCTTCCACCATACTGCTCAAATCACAGTGCACACAGAAATTCCCTGGTACCCTAGTAATATCATTGTTCACCCTTTGCCTTACTTCTACAAGAAGCACTAAATGGGCCAAAGTGAGAATCCAGATGTCATTCTATTTAGTCATTGTTCCCCAGAGCAATGGTGCATCAGAGGAATTGTGGGAAATTTAAATAGCAATGAATCCATTAAAATGGCCAAACCCCGCAATTAACTGTGCTGCTACCTTTTGTTTGTCCCTGGAAGCCAACCAGGAGAGCTCACTGATATTGGTAGGGGATCACAAGCAGACCCATTGGTGCAGATCCCCTCATACCTGAAGCCTGCCCTGGCTTAGCATTACTGTACAGGGATATATGTGGATGAGGGTGTGCATGGGTGGTACACAAACCCTTGTATATATCCATAACTGCCAAAGACTTCAAACATTCCCTACCTCCTGCCACTGCTTAGTTTGCTGACAAAATTCATTTCTGTGGCAATGAAAAGCATCTTCACTTTAAAAGCACTTTTATTATTTTTAAAACAAGGTGGAGACTTTCTGCACACTTTGTTTACAAGGAGGTTCATAGTCCCAGATGCTTCTTGGAAATACATATCTACTAGAAGCAAGCTACAGTTGCCTTCTCTAAAGCAGAGGTTGTCAACCCCCGGTCCGCGGCCCGGTGACGGTCCGGGGCCTGAGCCGTACCAGGCTGCGTAGAGAGATCTACCGCCCCTTGCACACACTCCCCTCCCCACAGCGGCTTTGCCTGTGTGCGTGTGTGCCAGTGCCAGTGTGAGTGCTCCCCTACCCCTTCACGCATGCACCTGAGTGCCCCAGCACCCGCGTGAATGGGTGGGCGGGCACGCGGGCGGTTGTGCAGGTGCCACTGCACATGCGCTACGCTCATGAAACAGAGAGTGCAACTGCACCCGTGCGCACCTCCGGGAGGTTCTGCACATGCGCTACGCTCATGAAACAGAGTGAAACTGCACCCGCGCGCACCTGCGGGGAGGTCCCTGCCTTCCTCAGAGGCTCAGCCAGTTTGCGGTCCCAAAAAGGTCAGGACCGCTGCTCTAAAGGATTAAAAACACACATTTGAAGTAAAAATCAGCTTTTCTTTATTTAACGTGCTTCAGAATTTCAGCAGCATGGTGGTGGCAGCATAATACAGTTCCTCCCTGGGGTGTAGGGAAGGCCCTCTGCAGGTACCCATCTCTGGGGTGTGTGTAGATCTGTGCAACTGTTGTCCTCTGCACTGCATTCCCTGGTATAATTCTTAGACTTCAGACCTTTTTGATCCAGATGAGCTACAATAGAACAGTTGGCTGTGAGAGACAGATCGTTTCTAGGGGATGCGACGACACAGCTAAGGAAGAAGGGTTCCAAGAAGATGGGAGTGGGGGATGGGGGAAAGGAGAAGGAGGCCAACAGAGAGAAGGAATGTTTTGGGGAAAGAGGTAGAGAAGTTAGGAAGCTTAGAGAAGATCATGAAGGAGCACAGGAGCAGGAGCAGGAGGTGGAACACCATTCTTCTTTCCCCTCAGTACCAGGCTGCAGTTCCTCCAGAACTGGTGGCAGAAGCCTAGAACTACCACTGAGACCAGGACTAGACAACTAGAGACAGATCTTTAAAAATACAATTGCATTCCTGAACCATAGTTACTGAACGCATTAGAGAGTAACTTTAAATTATTTATTTGAATGTTTGTTTTGCTTCCTTCTCACTTTTCTACTCTGCCCATGCAGTAAATGCCAGTTCTGATACACATACTAATAGGTTAGCCACTGTTCCTTCCCCTCTGAGAGAATGAGAGTCCTAGTGAGTTGGGGTTTTTTGCATGCTTGCATTTACCTCTGTCAGCCATCCCACTACTATGTGAACCCAGGTCCCCTTCTCGTAGCCAATCCACAGGGTTTCTGGTAGGGGAATCAGTGTTACATAACCAGATATTCACAGATATTAAACTGCAGTTCAGTAGTTTTCACATTTTTACATTCTATGTTCCACCAAAATATTTTACCAAAACCTCACTTCTACCATTAAACAAAGAAAAAGCCCAACTTGTTCCTGCAGCTCTTTGAAAGAAGCAGTCACATATACACCCCGGCAATCTTGAAGTTATTAAAAACTCTGTGTTTTACATATAAAAACCTGTTTATATGTTTATAGGCATCCTCTTGTTTTATTTATCACTAGCAAATGTGTCTCAGTGCACCTACATTAGAAACCCATTAGTTCCACCTCCCACCTCAGAGCTCTTGTTTTTTTTTCCTTCCTCCAACCAACTTCCCCTCATGTTGGTTTCCTCCCCTTCACCCCAGTATTCATGAGTTCATTATGAAGTTCCCTGTTCAAATGCTTGGGGTAGGGACTCCACAATTACAATTATTGCCATTAAAAGAATTGTATTTTCAACCTGTATCTTTGTGAGATATGTTCGCATCATAGTATATCATTACCCAATTACCCAATTTTTGATGCATTTATTGCAATACACACTGCTGTGTGATAAAATGAAAGTCAACAGAAGGTTAGTAAATAATAGATGAACTACTCAGTTTGTAGTCAGAGAAGACATCTTTACAGAAGACTCCAGATGTTTATGATAAGTTGTTACTAAAAGTTAATTATCAGTGGGCCCATTAGGGCAATGAGGAAGTTGATTTTGAGATCAAACCAACTCAGTTATGTATGTTGGGAAATCAGTCATTTCTACAGTTATGTTTTAACTCTGTTTCAGAGTTGTTTTGAAACAATCTAGATTTGCTTTTTTTAAAATATTGGGTATACAGTAAATTGGTGGACAGGAGGAACATGGCATTAGGAGAAAGAACACCAATTTCTGCTGGTGTACTAAAAAGTTACAGATGGACAATCCACGGCAGACAAGGTGGTAGGAGATGGCACATCATATTTGTAAGAGGACAAATTTTCTTACTAAATATTATGAAAATTGTCAATTCATCCTAGGCTATACCCCTGTTTAGGCATGTGAAAAGATTGTGTGCCCCTATGATTTAGCTCTCTACATACAAGAGCTAGGATGGATGTGGGCAGGGCTACATTGCACCCTGTGCTCACAGACAGACTGAATAAATTATTTCACTGAATATCTGAAGCTCATCACTGGTACGTGTACTTTTGATTCAAGAACCACTACATCAGTGTACATGCAACATTACTTTAAGCTTTCCAAATGTGTGCCTTACACTAAAGAAAATATAATCTATTAATTCCTGACAAGTTACAGTCTGATGTACTTATTTATGAGCATGATGTGTGTGAGTTAAGAAATAATGTCTTAAGACTTGCCAGATTTTTTGTTCCTATATGTAGCTCTTTGAAATAAGCAGTCACACTGGCAGTCTTGAAGTTATTTCATTATTAAAAACTATGTGATCACTAGTATGGGTAGACAAACAAAATAACTGCAGCATTGAGGGACTGGGAAAATTATTTCAGTAAAAAAAATGTCTTGATAGTGAATACATAATCATGAAATATTTGAATAGTGAGAACCCTTGTGCAATCTTTTATTGCTATGTCTGAGACTATATTTTAACTCAGAGGTCTAGTACTTATACAGATTTATATGTATCTTACTTTCTCCAGTTGTATATCATCTTTGTTCTGGTCTAAATGTAGGGGGGAAGACATTACCTAAAAAGAAACGGCAACAAAAGACTTATTTGAGTGCAAATAGTATTATAAATTCCCAGAAGAGTAATAGCGTGGCTTGCCGCCTATTGTCAGCCAGACTCCACAAAGTTAAAGAGCTAAAAAATGAAGTGTCCGTTTTGAAGAGAAAACTGGAGGCGTCAAATATGGAAAACCAGATCTTGAAGCGTCTTCAGTATCGGCACTTAAAAGCAATAAGTAAATATGAAAACGCAGAGACCAATCTGCCCGATCTTTTGGCAAAACAATGCAATGAAGTGAAAACTCTAAGGGCACATCTCAGGAGATCACGGGAGCAGGAGCGCAATGCATCCAGAAAGCTTAGAGAAGTTGAAGCACAACTGTTAAAGACAAAAGATACCTTGCAAGCACTGCAGAAACTTTCTGAAGACAAGAATCTTGCAGAAAGAGGGGAACTTAAACACAGATTAACCACTCTCACACAAAGAATGGAAGCTAGTGATAAGAGAATACAGGTAATATGTTGAGGCATGTGGTGAAAAAAGTTATGTACTGAAAGCCATGACACAAAACCAAAAGTGGGTGCAAGTTGAATACAATTCTATTTCAAACATGTTGTTTTTATTAATCCACTAAGTGTGATGTAGGCTTCAGGTCCTTGATTCTAGAACCAGCAGTAAAATGACTGTCAGTTTTAAGGGGCTATAGGTGACTTTGGCAGAGAATTAAGATAATTATTTCTGTTAAGACAACTGATGTACTGTATATTGCTGCATCAACAGGAATACGTAGCACTGGTCTATTGAAAAGGCAGATGATACTCAAATATCATCTTAGGGTTTACTTAGCAAGTACTCTTACTTCTCCCTTCCAAAAAGAAGGGGGGGGAATAGCCAGTGTCTATGATCTGTTTACATGACAAGAACAGTTTGTTGTAAATTATAGCAGCAGGAGGAGATATATTAGTAACGTTAATGAAAATATCCTGGATTGTGGTGCCTTGTTAGATGTTTTCACTTCTATGCCAGTCTCTTCTACCCCCTCAGTGCCTTTGTCCTTGGGATAAGAATATAAAACATAGCAAGATCATGATAATACTCTGTGCTTTAGGACAGTTTTTATCTTAATACGAAAACCTATTGCCAAGTTAGGTCCATCCCTCCCAGAACGAAGTTTCAGAAATAGGGAGCATTCCATACTTTTCTTCCTAATTGAAGTAAGATGCATCTCGGACAGCCTGTCCTGCTGCTTTGAAATTTGGAAAGAGAGAGAGAGGAGATGTCTTTCAGTAACAGGGGGTCATGACTGAAGAGATTTGCAGGACAAGCTTACACAATTCACCAGGTTCCAACTCTGGGAAGGGACCTGCTGTTGCAAGCCACTCACTCATAGTCAGTACTATTTCCACATAACTTTTTGTCAAAGGTAATAGCAACCCATTGTCGCAGTGGTTTTTCATCCCTGTTCCCTGCCTGGGATAGAGAAGCAGTTGTGAGAGTAAACAAGGTACCGTCATCTTAAAAAGTGCTAGCTTTTCTTGCTATCACAGGCACTTCTAGTAGGGATGACAACACTTTGTTTCCGGATTGTGATACAAGATGTGGGATAACAATGTCTTCCAAGCCTATCCAGTAACTGCCAGTACTAGTTGCTAAATCAGGCATGGGGAACATACAGCCTGCAGGTCACACACAGCCTCGCTAGCACCTACAGCACATTTCTCCGCGCACACACACCCAGCACAAATCTAAGCTCCCCGTTTTACCTCCGTTCTTTTTAAACAAGTATTTTGTAAGGAAAAAAGAACAGCAGGGAGTTACAAGCGCAACTGCAACTTTCCAAGATCCAGGGATGGGTTTGTATAGCCCCCAAATCTTTAGACCTTAGGTGTGCTGAAGAAAGGAATTATCTTTCTAGATTTCAAAGAATGAAAAGTCGCCCCCCCATTAAGAGAATTACATGTTGACCATCCATAGGAGACTAGAACAAATAAATTAAAACATTAATTACTGTGGTAATTGTCCCCGTCCACCCCAAAACTATGGAGAGTAAAATCCAACATTATGTGGCCTTCTGCTTACTTTCTTCTTTCTCCAATCCACCTCAAATTTAAGCAGGTAAGGTTTCCCCAATTGATTTTGAGGGCATGGGGGGGTGTTCAGGGGCAAGGGGAGTGGTCTACTATTCCATCTCAGATATATGCAACTCATTTTTTCACAGAAGAACTTCATTAGATTCCACACAATGTGTGAGTACCAAGACATTTCTGATTACAGAGTTGATTTATTTTCTGTCTCACTTCTCTGTTACAAGAGTAGCCACTTGCTCTTCAAAAGTTCAAATTTATTTTTTATAGTTACCTGAACAACTCTTACTGCAATGTTCTAGAAAAATATCATTAAAATTACAAATACTTGCTGGGGTACTTCTTTTTATATGTAAAATGAATGATTGTAAATGTTCAGTATGATGGAGATGAAGTAGATGGTCATACCTGTAATATCTTTAGGGCCTAGAAAAACAGCTGCTGTTGAATAATACTTCCTTCAGTCATCAGTTAGCAGCTGAGAAGAAAAAGACACTTGAAGCTCAGTCAATTACCACCGGTTTACAAATGGAAATCAAGTTGCTTAACCAAAAAATTAAGGTATTTAAGATTTTGAGACAATTTCTTTGCAAACCTATGAAGCTCTTTTTTTAGGTCAGCAGGACTTACTCTCAGTAACTATTTATAGGATTATAGCTATCTGACAATTTATATGTGTCATTTGCATATTGTACAAAGTCTGTTGGCCAAAATCCTATTGATGATTGTGTAAGATTTGTGTAACTTAACTGTAGCTAATTGTGACTAATTGATAACATGCTATGCTAGATAATTTTGTCCAATGATTGAATACAATTAAAAAGAAAACCAATCTATGGATTTGAAACTAAGGAATACGTAGAAAAGAAAAAAGATGTTCAAAGTAAGTGTGAGTTTTAGGCCTCTGCTTGTACCTTTCAGTGAAATAGGCTTTATATTATCTTCCATGGGAAGGATTTCCATAATATAGCTGTGACCAAAAAAAGTAAGAACATGCAAAACCTAGATCAGCCCTTGCTCCAAAGAGACACACATTGATGCTCCTTTCTTGTGCCATAACTTCCACTCCAAGTAAATAAAAGAGATGAGATCCATTCTTGGTTTTGAAAGAGAAAGTGCTGCTTTTTATCTGGGACTAAGAACATTACAGATTGAATGGACTAGACTGGCAAAGTTTATGTAACAATGGATAGGGCTGCACTGCAAAACTGCTATTTGCGGATGTTGACTCTGTGAAAGCCTGTGTTTTATTTCAATTCTTCCACATTCCTGAAGATGTGCTATGTAATGAGGGAATGACTGGTGGGATTGTGCCGTTGTGTTTACTTCAGCAGATGTTAAGAGAGCATGCTATTTACATGCTATTTACATATGAATCAAATAAGATGGTATACTGTAAAAGTTGTATAGTGAATTCAGTTAATTAGTACATACATATAACTGAGTTTTATGTAAGAGATTTTACTGCAGTTTGCTTAACACTGTATTTGTGCAGGAGAAAGAACGTGAACTTGGCATAAGGAATATTTATGCAAACCGGATGCTTAAAGGTCAACAGGAGAAAGCTGATTCAAAGTCTCCCCTGAAAGGTAGCACAATTTGGAATCAGTTTGATGGCATGTGATTATTATTATGATAGATGTGTTTGAAATTGTATGTCTCAAAGCTTTTGCAGAATTATTTCTTGAAATCCCACTCCACATATGTCATTTAGAGAAATTGCTACCAAGCAGGAGATCAGCACAGGACTGCCCTCTTTTTTTATTACCATGGGTATCATGTAGCTAAAGAGGGTGATGAATTACGGATGCTGGGTCTAAACATATGTATCCTTACCCAGGAATTAGTCCTATTAGAGTCAATTAACTTTCTCTGAGTTATTGTGTACATAGTTTAGTTTATCATGCAATCCTAAATATGTCTACTTAGATGTAAGCACTGAGTTCTGTGTGACTTACTCTGAATAAAGCTGGCATCTTTTATGTAATTGGCATTCTGTGTTGGCTTATTTGTTTAAAGAAAAGTCCAGGTCACAGAGTATAGAGATGAAGAAGTACAGCTCCCTCTAGTCCTCAGCCTGAGATATAGCAGATTTTTTTTCCTGATTAGGTTCCTTTGACATTCTGGCAGTTGATGCAATGCAAAGAGATCAAACGGCCTGTTTCAAACTTTTTCTATGGTAAACACTGAACATACTACTTACAAAACCTATTGCTACATTCCCTCCAAATTCACATGCATAGTTTTTATGATTGCTAAAATGCAGTTCAAAATGTTCAGTCACAAATACTGTTTTAGTATTTATTGATCACTCCAACTGCATGCCAAATAACTTATGATAGAATCATAGAATAGTTGAATTGGAAGGAGCCTATAAGGTCATCGACTCCACCTGCTCAATGCAAGAATCCAGATCAAAGCAGATCTGACAGATGGTTGTCTTTCTCTTGAAAGCCTCTGGAGTTTGAGTGCTCACCATCCCCCAAGGTGATTGGTTCCACTGTTGTACTGGTCTAACAGTTAAGAAGTTTTTCCTGTTGTTCACCTAAATCTGACTTCCTGTAACTTGAGCCCATTGTTGCATGTCTTGCACTCTGGATGATTGAGAACAGATCCTGCCCCTCCTCTGTATAACCACGTTTCAAGTATCTGAAAAGTGCTATCATAGCCATTTTTCTCTTTTTTCCTAGTTCTTTCAGTTTTTCCTCCTGAGCTTGGTTTGTAGTCTGCTAATCGTCCTTGTTGCCCTCCTCTGAACTTGTTCCAGTTTGTTGGCATCTTTCTTAAAGTTCTGTGTCCAGAACTGGACACAATACTCTAGATGAGGCCTAATCAGTGTCAAACAGAGGGGAACTAGGACCTTACGGGATTTGGAGACTACAGTGGTGCCTCGCATAGCGAGGTTAATCCGTTCCGGATTAACCTTCGCTATGCTGAAGCATCGTTGAACGGGGCAGGGAATTCCATTGGAACACATTAAACACGGTTTAATGCGTTCCAAATGGGCCGAATACTCACCGTTCAGCGATGCTTCTTAATGGCCGGCAGCCATTTTCGCGCCCTCGCCTCGCTTAATGAGGGCGCGAAAACGCTGCGCGCGGCCATTTTGGGCCATTTTCGGGCTTCTGGCGGCCATTTTGGCCGCCAAACAGCTAATCGTCGGGCTTCGTTTTGCGAAGATCGGTAAGTGAAACGCTTACTGGTCTTCGCAAAGCGAATTTTGCCCTATTAGAAAAACGTTGAGCGATCGCATTAGCGATCCGAAAAAACGGATCGCTATGCGATTTCGTCGTTATACGGTGCGCTCGTTAAGCGAGGCACCACTGTATACTTCTTTTAATACATCCTAAAATCTCCACTCAGCTATGAAACTCACTGGGGGAGTGGAACTGATAAAACTGCTTATTAAATATTTCATTTATCTTGATAACCCTATTAGGGCTGCTAGAAACCATGATGGCACATAACAACCTCTAGGTAATGAGCCCTATAGATTTTTAAAAAGAAAGTGCCACCACTTTTATTTGTGCTCAGAAACTGATCAGAAACTAGATCAATACCTTATGTACTAGTATAACAGGATCTGAATATCCAGTTTGCTATATTCTGAACTGTAGTTCCATGGTAGTCTTAAAGGGGACTGCCACATAGCAGTTCTGGATGTTACTAGAGCACGACTACCATGGCTACACTCTATCTCCCAAAGAAAAGCCACAACTGATGTATCAGCCTGAGCTGATATGCCACAAAAGTTACTTGGTTTTCTAGTGAGAAAGTTGGTCATGGGGAACCAAGAGAGTACAACTTGAACCTCTAAGGAAAATGCAGTCTCATCCAGAACAAGCTAAATAGGATTTTCCTGAACTATCTACTCATAGTACTATGTCTTATCAGGATTTAATTTCAGCTTACTGTCCCTCATCCAGCATTCCTATCCCAAGCCAGGATAATTAATGTTCATTTATCAAATATGTAACTAGAATAAAACTCCCACCAGTGACTTCCTATGTTCTTTTCATAGATATTAATGTCAGCAAATTGGTACAAGTAGATATAAATTTAGAAGCAATGACTCCTCAACATCAAGAGACAAACAGAAGTGCAGTTGTTATAACAGAGGTATGGCAGATATATTCAGCCACTGTTCATTTATAAAGTTTATTTACTTCTATGAAGGCTTGTTTCTTCTTGTTATCTACACATTATCCTAACATTTTTCAACTACATTATGAAAATGTGTCAAGCTACAACTTTGATCACTCCCAACCAGTATCTCTGGGAATGATGAAACCTATTGTTGAACACATGTAGAAGACTGCAGGTTGGGAAAGGCTGCTAAATATATTGGCCTACACTCTAGAATGGGTATCAGAATGGTATCTGCTTTGTAATAGTGAGATGTGAAATTGAAAAGCAACCGAGACCTCCTTGCTGTGCCATTATTCTTTGTAGCATTCCTACTGTTCCTCGCTGCTAGAGCAAATGCTTTGTATGCTGAAGATAGCAGCTTCAATCCTTGGCATTTCTAGGTAAGTCTAGGATAAAACTCAGTCTAAACACAATAAAAAAAATTACTACCAGTCAGTGATAGCTTTACTGAGACTAATGGATCAAATGTTCTGAGGGAGCTTCCAATATTTCTCAGGATATGAAACAAACTGTATGTTTCCCACCACATCTAGTCATTACCTTGTCCAGTTCTTGCAAAAGTGGCTGTCCTTCCAGGTCATACTTGGATTGTTTGCTTGTTGCAAGAATGTATGCAGAAAACACAAGCTGCTCCCTGAGTACTTGAGCTGCTTCATGACTATGTCAGAGAGGAAAGCCCTTAAACTCCTTAGTCTGTTTTTGTAATTTATGATCTAAGCCAACTGGGGTACATCCCTATTTTTTTAGAGGGCCCTGTTGCTATTTTGATCCACTATACTGGGATTTTTAGAATATGCTCTGACTGAAATGGTACTGTAAACTTTGATTTTTTTTCAAAGGATCAGAGTGAAGCCACATGAACTGCCATTCTTAAGATTATGTTAACACTGGGGAAGTTCAATCAGATTCTTAATTTATTCTTTGTATCTAGCTGTTCCAGGTAAAATCTAACATCTGATGAGTCTTGCTGTAATGTCTGTAACCTCTTCCCCATTATTTTACAGACAGCATGAAGACTACATTAACAATGAGCTTTTCTCCCCTTTTTGCCTCAAAAGTTTACATACTTTCCCCCTGCATGCAGGTTCTTGAGAGTGACAAGGTCAAAATTTGAGAGTGAACCTATTAAACAGAAATCTGTCATAATGGTTTGTTACTGTTATAGTGAAAAGGAACTGTTATAGTAAAAAGGAATATATATGGTTCTTTCTCTCACTCCCCAAAACTTCTAGGAGCTGACAACCCAAGATATCAATGAAAAAAGCAAGCTACATGATGGGCATAAAGAAATGGGAATAAAAAGAAAAGTTCATCAGAGTGAAAAGTTACCCATACAAGAAATTTCAGATAAAACATGCACAGGTACTTCAAAACTATTTCAGAGCTGTTAAAATATGTACAATAAGCAGACTGCATTCTAATCTACATAAAATGGGTTGAATATTCAGTCATAGTAGTCACTTACATGATTTCTGGTTCCCTAAGAGTTCAATACTACAGTATAGTGTTAATAAATGCTTCAGTATCTTTTGAACTTGGCAACTACAGATGTGTTATGCAGCAGATCTTTGAGCATACTATATGTTCAAAATATCTGTGCAGTTAGTTGCACATCAAAGTAGTCTTCCATACAGTGGTGCCTCACTTAACGATTGTCCTGAATTACAACAAATCTGCTTTACGACGATCTTTTTGTGATCGCAATTGCGATCGCAAAACAATGGTCTAAATGGGGGAATTTCACTCAGCGATGATCGGTTCCCTGCTTCAGGAATCGATTTTTGCTTTACAATGATCAAAAACAGCTGATTATTGGGTTTTCAAAATGGCCACCGGGTGCTTAAAATGGCTCCCCTCTGTGCTTAGGGACGGATTCCTCGCTATACAGGCAGCGAAAATGGCCGCTGTGTGGAGGATCTTAACTGGACGGTGAGTTTTTACCCCACTGGAACGCATTGAACGGGTTTCAATGAGTTTCAATGGGGTTTTTAATTTCGCTTTACAATGTTTTTGCTTAACAGCGATTTTCCTGGAACGGATTATCGTTGTTAAGCGAGCCACCACGGTACTAATAATCCTTGGCTAAACTTGAAGGCTTGTGTATTTAATAATTCTTAATGAGTAAGTGATGTTATGGAACCAACTCCTTGCTACTTGACTGGGGCTACCCCAAAACAGCAAATTTAAATTGAGGGCATTAAGTATATGTTGAAGGGCATCTGTAAGTATTAAATATTTTGCTCTTGTTGTGTTTTACTTAGATTTAAACACAGACATTATTATACAATATTTATGGCCTGCTTTCTTGGAAAAAATTAATTTTTGAGGATAATTTTTTGCAGAGTTAATAAGAGAAGAGATATGTCCAAGCACAGAAAAATATTTCAGATGTGAAAACCTAGAAAGACAGAAGAACAGGAGAGAAAGACAAGGACTAGACTTATTGAAAGAAGAGTTTGATAAATTAAGGGCAGAACAATCACTACAGACTATAAATGATATCGAGAAGAAAGAGAATAAACTGGAAGAAGCTATAACCAAAACCCAAGAAAACAAAGAAGGCAAAGGAAGTGCAGAGGCAAGGGAAGAGGTCTGTGATAAACTGCCAAAAGCAATACAAAGACATAGAACACCATCAAAATTAAAGAAACAGTATGTGTTTACAGAAGCTATTGAAAATTTACACCAGGGTTTCCCTTCCACACGTCGGCTATCCACCTTAACTACTACATGTAAAAGCAGAGAGGTGAATACACATCAGAGTGGTACAGCTGAATTTAAGGCAGGAGATTCAGACAGTGCCTATGAGCCTTCATTTTGTAAGATTACCAAAGCAAGACACAAAGACACCACTTCAACATGTGATGAAAACTGTATTCCTACGGTATCAGTGGAGAAGAAAAACACTCTTATGGAAGAACTCTTTGGACCAAATTGTCTCTTAAAAGACAATAATCCAAACCTTAATTTAAAGGAGGTGGGTAAAGAAAAAGACATATTACAGAATGAAAAAACATATGATGAGATTTCATTCATGAATGATAGTTTGCAATGTGGTGATTCCAAACAAGTCCACATGAAGGCTTTTCATGCTGTTGCCTTCTTGGAGAATCTCAAATAATGAATCTATGAGTTCAAAATGATTTCAGTTTGGAATACATAATTTTTGAAAAGCAGTATAATCCCTGCTTTCTCCCTTGAATGTAATGATTCTAGACTAATCTGAATGACTTTCACACTATCCTCTGCACCTATAACAGAAGTAGAATTTTTTTTATATTGCCTTACAAATGAAAAGGCATGAAAGGTATAATTGGTAGCAGTTTATATTTGATAATGAAATATACAGTGTAATATTGCAGTGCATCTTAAAGGAGTCTAAGAACAGTGAGAATTGTACTACTAGAGAATCTATAAAATTGATAAAACTCAAAAATACATTGGGAAAAAAGTATTGCATTGGCATTGGTGGTAAAGTTTAATGGGAAAAAGTAGCAAACTCCTACTTGCAATTGTTAAGGTGAAGGTTTCACCTAGTTTATCTTATCAGTTTCCTTCTACAATTTAAAATATCTACCTGGCTGAAGTTAGAGCATCATTCACAAAAGTTGGACAAAGTGGATTCCTGCTTAAAAAAACTACCAAAAGACTCAAAACCATATTCTTCTAACAGCCACAGCTTATAACTGAGGACTGCTTCAGATAAAGTACTTCTGCCCCATAGCACTACTCCTTCAATCCTCCAATTTTATTAATCCTCAGACTTAGCATTTTTTAGAAACTTTATCTCACCTATACTGCATTAGTATGACCATGGTTATAATAATGTCTCTGGTTGTAATCAACTTATGTATGTCAAATTTAATGGTTTTCTAATGTTGTACTTGCACCCAGACTGTGGCCTGAATGTTTATGGGTTATTTACACCAGCATACATTCAATATTATAAACTGGAACAGTGAACTGGCCACTGATTAATGAGTTGCTGCTTGTATTCCTTATGCAAAAGTCATGTGACTTGGCATGCAATGAAAATTTCAAGTGGTGACTCATCAATTAGCTGCAATTCACCACAGTGAATTACATTTATGCTGCTGTAAACAGCCAAGAGTCTGGTTGTTTACAGGATTCTGGCCTGTGGGCAATAATAACACTCAACAATATATAAAAAATCTCTTCTAATTAAACACCCTTGGTAATTCAAACATTAAATGTTATGCTACCCACAAGACTGTTCTCTTTGTTTTCCATCATAGAACAATGCAAAGTACTGCAAGTTAGTACAAACAGATGTGAAGATATGTAACAAGACTCAGCAAGATTAAATATTTGACTGCATCATGTTATCATCCCCTGTTGTTCTAAAAAGGGATTATTTTGTCATACTTTTATCTAGAACTAGACATGCTATGTTACAGAAGAGTTGGGGTAGACTCGATATTAGTGGACAATGAGCATCTGCTCCATCAGACAGAGAGACAGCCAACAGAACTGATGAGATCATTTGGAAGACATCTTGGGGGTTGGTGAAGACTAAGTTGATAACACCTCTATCTTATGTACAGGAAAAGCGTTTGAAGCAGGAATCAGCATTAGAGATGGGCATGAACTGCCAGTTTGGTGGTTCATGCTGATTCATTTATGGGCCAAACAGGTTTTCGACACTTCAAAGTCTACCTCCTCTGGCGGACACCCACTCAAAGGCAGCAGCCTGGCTTCCCTGCCCTACATCCTCCAGGAGCCCCACAGAGGAGATGGGGCTTTGAAGCGCCAATCACCTGTTTGGCCAAAATGAAAAAGCATGAACCACCAAACTGGCAGTTCATGCCCCTCTCTCATCAGCACAAACGTTTACAGACTACTGCAGCACTTGGGTCAGTTTGCTTGATAATACTGTATTATTAAATATAGATATGCTCTAGTCCCCATACTGTCAAACGGAGACACCAAAATTAGGCAGTGCAATATACAATGTCCCCCTGGAAGCTTGTGTTTTCATAGCTTTTTTTTCCCCCTGAATAGAAAGTTTTAAGACATAAGTGGATGATGTCATATCCCTCGGTCAGCTTTCTGCCCTTTGGACTCAAGAAGGGTTGCATCCCAATTTGTTACAAAAACACTGCTCCTGGAAGTCACACTTTGCCTACTCCTGACTTAAGACAATATTTGAAATTGAAGCCTTTGAGAATACAACACACAGAAAAGTCCCATTAAACCACAAAAGATGGAAATCCCTTTCCTATAGATTTTTTAAAAAATACTTATTTTTTTCCAAAACACAGCTGCAACATGCAGTTATTGTTTTCATGTAAGTTAAAAACATATAAACCTAGTATGAGGAGCAATTAATTTATTGATTAGGAATTAAACTGCTGAAAAAGAAAGGAGAGGTGCAGATTACCACACAATTGGGATAGTCAAGCAGGCCACTTGGAAACTGATCCTGCTCTTTCACCTCCTCTGCAGAGCTTTGTGTTCCAGTGGAAATGTACCACTGCATTATTCTGGTTCTCTGCCTGAGAACTTTAAAGCAGGGCCAGCCTTCATTCTTGACCTTCCTAGATGGTGCAAGGAAGGGAAGACCAGGTGCAATATGGTACTGTGCTGCTTAGCAACTAGTAATTTGAAGAACATGAAAAACTACAATGCTGCATGCACTGCCTTTCCTTTCCTTTTAAAACCAGGGAAATGGAAAATATCAGCCCTCAGCTGCTTGCAGGTTGCCTGCCCTGTCTAGATTTAAAAGCGGGTGAACAGGGAAGAGAGTACTGTAAAGACTGGTAGGTGGCTACAAGGGCAGGTGAATGACTGTTTCCTAACTTGCAGACAAGAAAAAGGAAATGTTTAAAATGTTTGGTATGGTTTCCACAGAACATCATTTAATAGACAATTACACTTCAGCACAATTTTTTGTACAAAATAATAAACTTTTGAAATAAGACTACTTGGAATACAACTATCCACATCTACATGAAATATCTTAGTGGGAAACCTATCCCTTCTCATCAAAACTGTAAAATGTCTTGGACTAAACAAGGATTAATTAAAACACAGGCAGAAAGTGTGAAACCATTCCATTTATGCAACAATATCTTCTATACCCTTCTGGTTATAACATGTACTAGCAGTCTGAGCCAATAAAATCACCTGCAACACATCTGACCTTGTCTGATTTTGTACAGTAAGAAGGATCAAGGCTAGTCTGTACTTGGATGTAAGACCACTAGGGAACTCCAGATAGGATTAGGAAAGAATCCTGGAGAGCTATTGCCCATCAGCATGACAGTATTGAGCTAGACGGTCTGATAGTCCAACATAGGAAAAGGTAACTTTTTGTTCTCTCTTGATACTCAACAGTGCAAAGCAGAACTTTCAGAAGTGTTAAGACTACAAAACTGCATGTGTTAAACGAGGTTCAGCACATAAATCTATAAACAGAACACAACTTGAAAGCTACTAGTAAGGAGACACAACAAACACATTACATAAATATTAATAACATTACAATAAATATTTTATGTATGGTTTATTTGATCCTAGCCCTGCCCCTTTCACGGACTATCATGAACAAGATGGTACAATTCAGATGTGTTGCCATCATAAGAAACAGAACATTGCTTAGAATGAGACAATTGAGGGGAGTGAAGAACTGCAACAAGATTCTTTCTCAGCTGAAGGGGTGAAGCATAATGGCCACAACCTTGTTGCAAACCACCAACCAACATGTAATGCCAACACCACCTAAAAATGAGAGAGGCATGGTATAAGTCACCAGTACTGTAGTGTCATATAAATGAAAGGAGTACATACAACTTGTCTATTACTAGTACATAAGAGAGAACAAGATATCAACAAAAAATATGCCTATGAGAAAATAACTAATGAGAGAAAGTAGTATAGCTTGGATACTTTTATTTTATTTATTTATTTATTTGATTTTTACCCCGCCCCTCTAGACCATGTCTACTGTAGCAATACCATGATTGCTACAATGTGTACTCTGATTCATACAGATTAGTGCTATGATTTGTTGTGCTACTGTGGGCACAATCCACCAGTTTCTTCTCGGCTAGTTTGTACAGCGGGGTCTCGACTTACGAACGACCCTACTTGCGAACAATTCAACTTATGAACTCGCCCTATAGGGGAAATAAAGACTCGGCATACAAACTTCCCTCAAGTTACGAACAGGAAAAAAGTGCTCCCTCCCCTTAGAGGCTTCTGGAGGGGGGAAAAGGGTCAGAAACTTAAAAATAAATAAAATAAAGTCACTTACCAGGCCTTGGTAGCCCCCAAACAGCAGGAAACAGCTAAAAGCCCACACCTGAAGGGGGCCTGGCAGCCATTTTGTGCTTTCCCCCCCTCCTGCACCCTCCCCTCCTATCAGCTGATCGGCTGGCTCTGAAGAGGCTTGGGGAGGCTTGCTCACTTGCTCAGCACCTAAAAAGCCTGCCTGTGTGTCTTTGTGCTGAAAATATCAGCACAACATGTTTTAAAACATGATTTAAAATTGGCTTCGTTGAAAAAAAAGATTTCTAAAGTGCTTTGCAAACTGTTCTCTGCCTTCCTCCTGGTTTCCTGAACCTAAGGGGAAAAAAAAGAAAAAATATCCCCCTCTAGTGGCAGAAGGCGGAATAGCAGCTTCCCATGAGTTTCTATGGACAGAAAAGAGCAAATACAGATTAAATGATTTTCAATGCATTCCTATGGGAAATGCAGATTCGACCTACGAACCACCTTCCTATACGGATTAAGTTTGTAAATTGAGACCCCACTGTATTTCTGAAATGAATGGAAAGCTTCACACCAAACTGTTTCCTATTTGTTTCAAGGAGAGCCATATCAGTGCCATTTCTACTGGTGTTTCATGTTAATCAAAAACTGTTGTGTCACAGAAAAGGATTGTGTATAGTTAGACTCTTAATGAGAAGTACTCAACACATATTTGACAAGAAAAACCTTATGTTGATATGTAATGTGTGAAACAACTTCCTAGTCCTAATTTTGGGAATGGCAGATTATACCATACATGTTAAAATCTTACAACCACTCCCATCTTTTTCACTGAAAGGCAGCTAAAGATAGAATGCCATGACCCTTGAGTATGTGTTTCCTACTTAAATACTTGCTCAATGGTAGCTGTAACGGCATGAAAACCAGTAGTATGTAGCTCCAGGAAACACAATGAACCATGCATGATTGTACTCCACAACTTCTTCGAAATTTGGAAAAACAAAAGATACAGCAACATGTTCAAAATAAAGCTGTGAAAAATGTTGAGGCAGGAAAGAGAAATACTATTTGTGCAGAACCTGGAATAGTAGTTCTAAGACTTACCTGCCACTCCTGTTGGAAAAGCAACTAAACGTTCTAATGGGGCAAGCCATTTGCTTGGGAGGACAGTAACTGGCTCAGAGTAATACTTCCAAATGAGAGAGATCATTAAGGCAGCCTGGAATAAAAAGTGGTTATAAGACTATATATGAAGAGAGCAAAATCAGAAATCACTTGTTTTCATTTAATGGCATGTTCAGCATTTCTGATATCCAGGAAATTCTAGATGCCTGTGTTGTACTAGATTATAACCCAATGCATAAAAAATGCAAACCATTTCTACGATCTTTTAGTTGGCATTGACAGGTTAGAAAGCCTCTGCACATGGAACGTCCCTGGAGCTTGGAGAACAACACCCACTCCCATGAAGCCAACCTCACAAATTCTGGAGGAGTTTTAATTTTAAAATTTGCCTGCATTGTTGACCAATTAATTTTTTAAAAATGATTAAATGGTGTTGGGGGGGAGGTCCCTCTAAACATGCAAAATTGCTCCCTATGCCCCTTGGGGCCTACAAGGTAACTTTCTGAGCCAAACCCTTTTTAAAAATTGGGTAGGGGTCCTCAGAGGACAGCATTGTGGTCAGTTGGCTGTATGCTACTGACCTCTTGTTTTGACCTACACTTCAGGAACAGGGCATATGGCATTCTCTGCATGGTCTCAGAACACATGACAGTGAACACAAACTTGTATGACTAGTTTCCAGGGGGCAAAAGGGGAAGACAAAGGAACACCTACCTATGGTCTAAGTTTCATTGAGACCAAAATTTGTGTTTGAACAATGTAACTTGAGACTGCAGGTGTGTAGTGTTTGTATGTGTTGATAACTGAATGACGATCCATACAAGACAAGACTTTTCAAAAAGAAAAGTAGCACAGCAGGAGTAAACTTGAGCAAAACGCCTTCTCTGAGATCTAATTTCTGCATGTATGGATCTGATTCTAAACACAAATGATTGCTTAAATATAAATAATAATTAGTAATACAAAGTCAATTTAATATGAATGTACATCTTTCAAAAATAAACATAACATTTGCTATTCTTTTAAATAAAATGTGCGCTTGCACAATCAAATTCCACCTACCTGTAAAATGTAGAACACAATATTTATTACCCACTTTATCTTGGCTAGTTGAGCTGTTCTTGTTTTCACTGTTAAAATAAATAAGTATAAATAATCCACAATACAAGAAAAATAAGAATGTATGTTTGTACTTTTAGCAAAAGTATTTTTTTCTAATTAAGCGGCTTTGTTCAAAAGCAATGTCACTGGCAGTCATCCTGACAGAGATAAATCTATTGGCTCAACTTCAAAAGGGGTATGTACTGAGAGAACCGTTTCCAATTGGGGAATCAGTGGGATCTCTCATGACCTCAACCAATACACCCACAAAACCTGCTCTGAAGGGCTGGGAAACTGTGCAGAAGGCTGCAAGGGTAGGTTTTGCTACTGTGCCAGTACAACATTGGCCATTAGTTTTCTCCTCCCATTCTACTTTTTTTATTTTCAGAGAAAAACACAAATCTTTTAAAAAAACACACTGCAAAATACAATACATGAATTATAACACAAACCAAGCATTCTTATCACTTAAAATGGATCTCCATAAACATACAAATCCATACAGAAACCACATTTTTCTGAAAAGGTCTGAGCTGCCTCTAGGGAAAACTGTACCAACAAATTAGTGTTTATATATATGTCTGTTCTTTGTACTTATATGTGCAGGGTTGCATTAGCCCATACTAATAATGCTGTGTGTCAATCCTCAGACACATTTATATAGAAAGAAAACACACTGACAGCACTCTTAAATATTGTTAAAATGAATCAATGGCCCATTTGTCAATCTTCTAGGACCTGTCTCTAAATGTTCAGCTTTCGCTAAATAACAAAAACAAAAACACAACAGCCTCAGAACTTTTATATTATGAATTATAAGGAAAATACTATGAACAAAAGTCAACTTTTTATTAATCACTTTCTAAAAGTGAAACTTATTCCTCTATTATTTCATGTTCAAAAGAACAAGTACAGAGACCTGTGTGATGGCTAAAACTTTATACTGTATCTGGCACTTTTTAATTTTGTTACAATTTGATGTTAAATATAATCACTTCAGTTTAAACAAGGGATAAGCAACTATGGAGGGCCTGAGAGGGCCAACAAGGGCTTGAATAGACCACAAAAATGTAACAAAATGAAAGCAAGCAAACAAAGACTACTACTTCTATCTTATCTATTTAAAATGTGAACTGCTGCTCCTGGAGACTTACTTCCAGGATCACCAATTCTACCTTTTTCAATTAGATTTTTTTTTTTTTACAAGATTGGGGAGTCAGATGGGCATGTGGGTCTACGGCAACAGCCCTGAGGGCCATATCATGCTCATCCCTGATTAAAACCCAATTCAATTGTTTTATGTTTTTACTACTAGGAAGATAAGAAGGGGAGAAAAACACTGTAAAATCCAATGCAAAAAGAAAACAAACACAAACGAGAACACAAAAGCAAGAACTTTTGTAGATTACAATCTATTTTTTCAGACACACAGCATGACAGCGTCATGTTATCAGAACCCATTCATATACACTTTCATACTTCAGATGTGTATATCTGAAGAAATGGATTCTAATGCAGCAAAGCTCACACTGAAGTAAATTTGTTTGTCTTACAGGTGCCACAATACTTTTTGTTTTTCTTTTGTTCATATTCTTGGGAGATTTTTACTTAGAGCAGGCAATTATGATACAGAGAATGAAAGCTAGCCTTCCAGAACAGTTTTCTCGTCGCTCACCCCCCCCCTCCGCCAGAGGACATGTTGATTTTCAATGACATGTACAGAAAATATTAACAACCCAGTCTTAAAATAGATGATCTGCAGGCATGGCGTATTTTGATGGCTATATTTTGTACTTAATTTTATTTTTTAAAGGAAGACATCAACATTAGAAGCAAACTTGGAACAGGCAAGAACAAAGAAGCAAAAAGTTCAAATGATCAGGGTAAAAAAATGAGAAACATGCAAATATATGAAGCAAATATCTACCATGAGTCTTCAGCTTGTCAGTCATTTTGTTAATTTTCCTTTCCAAGCGGGCGTATCTGGCAAATTCATCCATCATACTAATGGTCGAAAGTTCTTGCTTCATGTTCTGAATTTCTGATCTCATCTCTGACTCCTGCTCAGCATCTTTTTGTAATAACCTTGATATCTAACACACAGAGAAGCAGCTATTGTCATTTCAATATTTTTAAACAAAATTTCTTCATATTTCTCTTCACATACCATACGAGCTTTCTCAAAAAGATCTTGGATCTCATGATTTAGAAGTGCCCAGACATTCTGGTACAGAGTGCCTTACAAATTGTGACTGAAGAATATATTCTTAAGCCCCATGAGGAGCATTAAGGAAGTGATTTACTTTAAAAAAATACTTCCCCCATATGTGTCATCTGTGACTTTGTTATTTTTTGTATGTTTTACCTCAATTCTACTTAACATTTTTTAAAATACCCTCAAAATAGAAGATACACCTGCATATGTATATTAACAGTTGCACTTCTTCTCCAAAAATATTAATATATGTTTTAATATTTTTCAAAACTGTGTCACAACTTGCAGAAGAATAAAATACAATGGAACCTACATTCTGGTCTGTGCATCAACCTGCTTTAGCTTTGCTCACTTTCCCATCAGCCTAGACTTAAGTTCATTTTATCCCATTTTCACCCTAGTCATTTTTTTAAAAAAAAGGTCACACAATAATTCAATACATTTTCATGCACTTTTCTTAACTTATTTTTGTGTATCTTTTCCTTAATATGCGACCTTTGCAAGCAATCTCCCAACATCATTTTTGTACATTTTAGTAATTTATTCACAGGGAAGGAAATAAAGCACAATGAATGTGGCATTCTTATTAACTTGGGATGCTTCAGTTTGACAACTCATTGAGGAATTTTCAAATCCTGTGAGATTCTTTGCCTCCAAGTTATGAGTCCATGAAAGCTCTGCAATGTGTGCAAACTGTCTGTGCAAAATGAGTCTTTTCACTTTCAAAAACAAAGTAAATGCACACACACACACATATCCATACTTAGAGCAACTGTTAATGTTGCAAACAACCCCTCTGATGCTTCTAAACTTTAAAAGTCCATACAAAAAAGCAGTGGCAGGTGTCACTTGATGCAATCTACACTGTTTTAAAGTGTTATATGTGTTACCATGTTACTGACACAATTTTGTCTCATTTAAATGAAAAAACCCACCTGACCTATTGTTGAGAATGCCACAAAACACTTCACCATCTTTTGGGGTAACAATAACTTTGTAACTCCTTGTCCAAAGGAGCAAAGATTTACACCCTCATATAGCATTTATGTATACATCTAGTCTCTTGAGACTAAAGGATGCCTAATTTTTTTCCCTGACATGTACTGTATATTTTGACTACATTTTTAAAAATCTGAGAACTGTGTGGCAAAATTCAGGAAAAAAATAGAATGCTGAAGTATAACTCTCAATTTGTAGGTTAATGCAGAAGTATGGATTAATCTACCTGCCTTAAGAACATGTCTTCTCTCCTTCAAGTGTTCATACTTTCAAATTATTCTCAGTTGATACAGTGGGGTCTTGACTTAAGAACGGCTTGAGTTAAGAACATTTTGACTTAAGAACCACTCTCATAGGAAAATATTGACTTGACTTACATACTTAGATTTGAGTTAAGAACTTAAAAAAACCACGTGGGAGGCAGGGAAAGTGCAAAATTTGAACTTTCAGTTAACTGTTGGCCAGTGAAAAGGGTGCCTGTCCGCTTTGTCACTCCTCCCAGCGTTTAGAGTGGATTGGGAGACAGTCTTCGGACTGCCTGGACTGTATTTTCCCTGCCTTCCCTGAACCTTTCTTGACCTAAGAAAAAAAGAAACAAAATATCCCCCTCTAGTGGTCGAAGGCGGAATAGCAGCTTCCCATTAGTTTCTATGGACGGAAAAGAGCACATACTGATCAAATGGTTTTCAATGCATTCCTATGGGAAATGCAGATTTGACCCGAGAACTTTTTGACTTGAGAACCGCCTTCCAATACGGATTAAGTTCTCAAGTCAAGACCCCACTGTAAATGGAACACATTGTATATTTTGTAGCTAGAGACTGAAAACAAAACTTCGACAGAACAGCTTTTTTTAGCCATTATATTAACAGCCATAACTTTTGATCTTTTCCATAGAATTTTAAGTGTTTGGAAGATATTGGCCTAAATGCACAGCACCCTGTAAGAAACTGGTTATTTTCATAGGCGCTGATCCTGCATATCTTGAAAAACTGTGAACTTCACAGGGTATACTCCTTTGAGTCTGAAACATTGCAAAAGTAGCTTGTTTTGGCATGAGAGCTTACTAAACAATAAGTGGATGTATTTTATTTAATGAAGTAGCATTTGACTTTTGGAAGTGCCTGGGCATTCTGCTTGCAACTTGCAAATGCTCCGTAAGATACACTTAATAAACCAAATACTGTATCCTATTTTGGTAATTAATCATTTATCATCTCATGCTAGAGAAAATAAAACTGCTTGAGCCTCCATGCCATTTCAATCTGGGAAACTAGATTTCTACGAAATAAAAACACTATGTGTCATAGATATCTGACCATAATCTCTGAGAAATACACTAGAATACTTCTCAATACAATACTTCCCATATTTAAGCTTTTAAATATACACATCTTCTGTATGAGAAGCTGCCACCTGAGACATACCTCTGCTGTACTTTCTTGCTGTCACCGGTTTCAAGCTATAGCCAGTCTTTAAACAGGTATCTGACAGCCAAATAATCAACTAGCAGCCTACAGAAATCCCATTCTACTCTTTACATCGCAGCCTTTCTGCTGTGAAAGCCTAACACACCTTTTCACTCCAGCACATAACTGCCAGTACAGTATTAGAAAAAGAGACAACAGGACATACATTCCAACAGCTTTATAATCTGCTTAGAGGCTCCCTATTTGTCTGCCTGATAATTAAAATGAACCTATTCGTCTCAACAGAAGTTTAAAAGTTGCTTGGGTCATAACTCTTCAAACACCTCCATAATGGCTATGGGGAAAAATGGATGTGGGGCTAGAGGACAGCTTTGCAGATACCCTGGACTGCCAGAAAGACAAACAAGTGGGTCCTAAATGAAATCAAACTTGAACTAGTTCTGGAAGCAAAAGTGATAAAACTGAGGCTCTCTTACTTTGGGCACATCATGTGAAGCTAGTATTCCCTGGAAAAGACCATAATGCTGATTAAGGTGGAAGGCAGCAAGAAAAGAGGAAGACCAAATGAGATGGACTTGACTCCTTAGAGGAAGTCATAGGCTTCAGTCTACATGAGGTGAGCAAGGCAGTTGAGGAGATCGTTCATTCATAGGGTCCCCGTAAGTGGGAGGCGACTTAACGACACGTAACAAGAGCAAAAGCAACAACCAATGGCTGTAACAAAAAGCTCGAAGTGCTCTGGGGCAACTATTCTGCTTTAAAGCAACAGCCCCCAACGTTTTTCTGTGTGGAACGAACTCCACACAAAACGAAGCGAGCCTTTCCCTCGAGTAAAACCCGACGAACCTCCTCCAACCTCTCTTGACCCCGCCGAAAAAAAGTTGGAGGGAGGGGGGAGGAGGAAGAGATGGGCGAAGGGAGGCGCCGTCGTCATGGGAACACGGCGAAGTGATGTCACTTACAATAGAGGAGCAGGAGGGCAGGAGGATTTTGAGGAGATTGCATAAAAACACGGAGCTCAGAACGAGCAGCCACGCGCCGCCGTCCGTCACGTGCCCCGTCGTCGTCTCCACCTGCGGCTCGCTCATTATCTCTGGCCGATGGGAGGGGAGCACAGGGCAGAGAGAGAAGAATGGCTCCGGCACCCCCCTCCGCCACTCCCGGTGGCCTCAATTGTTACGGATGGGGCCGCATGCAAGAGAAGCGCGTCGGGGCTGCGCGTGCGCGCAACTCCACGATCGCCCACTTCTGCTCGACCGTAACAATAACCCTGAGAGGCTCTTGCTTACAGGCTGGCCGCAGAGACGCATGCGCACATCGTCAGAGAGGCGGTCATTGCTTCTCGTGTGACGTAAGCAGAGGCACCTCCCCGCAGCCCCTTCACCGCCTCTTTGTTGACGGAGCGCATTGAGGCCGACGGGCCTGTCTGTCTGGCTAGGACGGACTGTTGTGATTTAAAAAGGGCACCGCGAGCTGGGCCGCCCAATAGGAGCTTGCGGAGCTTCCAATATGGTGGGGGCGGCGCTGGGGCGGGAGTGCGCGCAGGCGCACCCCCTCCCCTCAATCCGGATGAATCCTGCTGCGGTGCCGCTGGCGCTGCTGGGATGGTTGCAGGAGGAGGAGGGGGGGTAGGTAGGCAGGCGGGCGGGCACTCCAGCCCGTGCGCAGTAGTGAGACTCGGACTGTCAGGAGGCTGGAGGTAGCCGTCACCGCCATTCGTGCTGTGAGAACGAGCTCTCCACCTGCCCGACGCTAGGGAAACATACCCATATAAAAAGCCCAGCAGAAGCCGAGTGTCTCCGTTCGGCCTCGCAAGCTTGCTCCGCCATGCCGAAGAGAAAGGTTGGCGACGGACGGACGGGCGCGCGCGCACTTTTAACGTGCGGCCAAGGCGCGCACTCCTCCCCCTCCTCCCTCCCCCCCTTTTTACCTCTTACCCTATCGCTTCTTTTACTTAAAAAAAAAGCAAACAAAAAACTAGGCGAGCGGTTTATCTTTTGAAACCGGGGCGCTCTTTTAGGCGACGACTTCATCGCAAGGGCCGAGTTTTCGCGCGGAATCTGCGGGAGGGGGAGGGGGCGTGACGACTAGACATGGCCGCGGCATTCGCCGTCCTCTGGGCCTGCCAGCCTCGAGCCTGTTAGAAAGGGGACCGGGGGGGGGAAGGGTAGCGGGTGGCGGTTTTCCTGAAGACCGGGCCTCGTGCAAGATCCGGCGTCCGGACCTTTCTGTGAACGTTAGTCGACAACGGCCTCAGCCTCCAGATTTCGGAGGGGGGGGAGGAAAGGGGTTTGGTGCGTGCGTGATGACGATACGCCTTGGGCTGGAAGCGGCGGTGCGCGCATGCGCCACTTTTCCCCTCTCCCCCTTGATTGATTTCTTACTGCTCTATTGCAGGTGAACGCTGCTGAGGAGGAGGTAAGTAGTAACGAAACGCAATAGTGGTGGAGTGCTACGTGATCAGGAGGGATAGTATTGTTGAGACCATTAATGTTGTAATTTTTTTGGTTTGTTTTTGTTCCAGCCAAAGAGGCGATCAGCACGACTGTCGGCGGTAAGTAAGAGTTTACACTGACTTTTTCTTTTAATTTGTAGAAGAGACATTTATAATCAAAGTTTGTCTGTTTGTTGCAGAAACCTGTAGTTGCCAAAGTTGAAACAAAGCCAAAAAAGCCAGTTTCAAAGGTGAGTTTTTTTGCAGGTTGGAAAATACTCACACTTGTTCATCTGTCCAAGATGTGTTTAGGAAACTGGGAATGGATAGTCAGAGTGATTAACCTTGTTTGTAGTATTGATTTCCATAGATTATTGGAGAATTCAGTTCTGAACCCTTTTTACAGTCATCAGTATACTTAGCAATGAACATACTGTATCTAACAAACTAACAGAGACAATCTGATCCCTGGCCAAATAACTTGCAGCTTGTGCTTTGACTATGAGTGTGATGGATGAAAAGGGAGGGGAAAACTGACAGCTGGCTGGAGTCAGTAAAATTCTCTTTTTTACTAGTACCTTTTTATTGTTTGTGTTTATCTGAGAGTTGATGCTGTGATGAAGTGTTCTATGAATTATGCCTTAGGTCAGAAGATAAAGTTGATCAAACTATTTTTTTAACCTTGCTGTCTTTCCAGCAGCAGGATATGTGACAATATTTTTGTATTCTATACAAATTATTGTAAAAAATACTGATGTATGGGGAGTAGGTAATAGGATGAGATTCTTTGGAATTAAAGAACTTTAATCCCCATAATTTGGCTGGATTATGGGATTGAAAACCCTCAAACTGGCAAGTGGTAAAGGAGCCCCATGATATGGCTGTATTATGAGATTTGAGGGCCCTCAGTCTGGCAAGTGGTAAAGGAGCCCCCTCACCTCCATGCTGTTCATGTGCTGCTTCTTTAATTTGTTTAAGAAGTGTCTGACTGCATGATGGGAATTGTGAGGATGTCATGGACTTGCACAGGTGCATGGGGGAACAGGTTCTAGTGGCAGACCAGTTTATTAGAAAAGTTTAATAATGGAGAACAAGCCATTAGCTGTTATTGGGATCCTGCTAGAGTGAGAGCCTGTGTCTTTGGATAGTTCCATACTTAAACTTAATGCAGACAGACACACTCCTCTATCGAGTTGCAGGCAACAAACCCTCTAATTTTCAGCCCCGCTGGGTGGGGCTCTGCCTCTCCTGGCTTTGCCCCTGTGTATTCACAGGACTCCAACCCCTCTCATGCTGGGTTCCGTCGTGACCGGAGCCTAACGTGATCGCTGCACAGAGAAGGAAGAGAGCTGCGTAGAGGGAGGCGGAGTTGTTCACATGCATGCCCAGTCTGAAAACTTGGTTGCAGACACTGGAGGACTGTCTTTGAAAGTATGAATAGGTCCAGGTGATCACTATCTTGATCTGCAATGCATCACCCATATAAGGAGAACTTTAAACAAGTTGACTGTGATATGTGAGATTCAATCTATTCCGTGCCTTCTGTGATCTTTAATTGCTAGCTCTCAGTCACCTTTTCTGTCAGTGATATAGATCAGAAATTGTTCCCCAATTTGATTCAGTTCCTGATTCTAGGATATATTTTAGTGTATCACCAAGAAGACTGCATAGAGAGTGCCTTAATAAAGCAGCACACTTATTTAATAAATACCTTGGTGTACAGTGAGCCCCTGTCACTTGTCCCAGCTCCTGCCAACCTAGCGGTTCGAAAGCATGCAAAAGGCAAAATGCGAGTAGATAAATAGGTACCACCACGGTGGGAAGGTATCGGTGTTCCGTGTCTAGTCATGCTGGCCATGTGACCACGGAAGATTGTGTTTGGACAAACACTAGCTCTATGGGTTGGAAACGGAGATGAGCACCGCCCCCTAGAGTCGGACACGACTGGACAAACTGTCAAGGGGAACCTTTACCTTTTACCTACAGTTGTAGTACTGTAATAGCCAGGAGCTTAGCACTTACTCTGTTTTCATGGATGATTTTTTTTTAATAATGATGCTGCATTTTATCTTCCAAATATGAGTGAAAGTATTAGCCTTTATTACAGGGGTGGGCAATTAATTTTTATGGGGGGGCACATGAAAATCTGAACTGTGTTCGGGGGCCGAACCAATTTTACTTAAAAATAAAATGAAACAGTGATGTTATGATTGTTTTTATCTTAAACTTGTTAATCTTCATAAATACTAAAGAGGCTTTTTGTGGTATGGTAAAGATAAGCAACTGATCAACTTCAGACAAAAAGCTATAAATGGTTTTGATGTTCAAAACTGTCCACAGGCTGGACAGGAGCGGCTCGCACTTTGCCCAGGTCTGCTGTATTAGGAAACTGATGTGCAACTGAAGTGGTATTCAGTATAAGAGAAAAACAAGCTAGATGGAAAATAACATGTGAACAGAACAGTCAGTAATTATATTCCCATATGATACTACAAGATTAAATAGTTGTGGTTGCTGCCATTTGTGCAGGACACTATTCTGAGATTTTTGAAGGGGCTTTTGAAAATGTGTTAAGTATAAGCAATTCAGGAAAAAGATGCAGCATGTTATATGAGTGTGTGAAACAAAAGAAAAGCTGGTTAGAATGAAACTTATATCTTCTGTATCATTGTCATTCATGTTATCAAGCCATAGGACAAGAATAAGTTATTGATTGCAATTTGTGCAAAAATATGCTTGAGTCTTAATTGCTCTCCATGGAAAAATATGACTTAAATATGAACAGAAAGTCTTTCCCTTTTAATAATGTCTGTGATCTACTTGAGAAACCTTCCTTAGTTTGTCAAATAGTAAGTTAAGTTGGATCTTCTTGTCTACTGTGGTACAGTGGTGCCTCACAAGATGATGATAATGCGTTTCATTGAAATCGCTGTTTAGTGAAATCGTCTTGCGAAAAGCGTTTCCCCATTAGAATGCATTGAAACCTGTTTAATGTGTTCCAATGCGGAAAATAGTTGTCGTCGTGCGAAAATCACCCACAGGGGAGCCATTTTAAATTGCTGTCTTCCGAAGCAGTGCCGAAAACACCCTACGGAAGCCATTTTGCAGAGCCGCTGATCAGCTGTTGAACTAAACTGAACAATGGCAGGCTGCCGCCGCAAGCCCCATGTTGCCGATAGCCCCTGGTAGAAGGGAGCTCCTCTGTGCCCACCTGGCCCCAGTTAATGGCCAAGGGACCTTCCCTCTCAACTCTGTCCAGGGAACTCCCGTGCTGCGGTGAAAGGGAGCCCCTGATTACCCACGTGGCCGGCAAAACAAAGGTGACCTCCCCCTCTCGTCCCCCGGGCAGGGGAACCCTTGCTCGCCACTGGAAGGGAGCTCCTGAGTGCCCACGTGGCCGGCAAAAACAAAGGGAGTTGCTAGATGTGGCTCGTCTAGCAATGAGGGAACCTCCCCCTCCCGAGCCCCAGTCTGGGAAACCCCTGCTCAATGCTGAAAAGGACCTCCTGAGCTTCCCAAGTAGCCCCTGTCGTCCCTGAAGCTGCTCGCGACCCCCCCCGCTCCCCAGACGCACCTCTGGTAAGCACCGCTTAGTGTGGGAGGGGAGGCAATCTGGCGGGCGCTTCCCACTCGGGTGATGAGAACCAAGCGGCGAAGAAATCCCAAACTTGTTTGCTGTGGGCAGATAGGGAAGCAAAAGGAGCGGAGGGGAACTGGTGCACGCTGTCTCACTCGCTCGTGTAAGGAGGCAAGGGGAAATTCTGGGCTTGCCTTACTGTGCCAGGAAACCCCGTTCATCCGTGAAGCCACTTGTGATCCCCCTTTCCTTACCTATTGTTAATTATTTTGCCTCAGTCATGTTTGCCAGAAGTGTTTTCATCTTTAAAAAAATATATACAGAAAAACTATGTTTGTTGCTTATAACTTCAAACATAATGATTTTTGCTTACCATGGAAAACTTGATATTAACTACCCCAAATATTCTTGATATTGCCTGTTACCGGATGAAAATTATCAGACTGCCCACGTTGTATTGTGGTGCTTCTGACATGAACTTTTCACCATGAAAACCAAAGTATATGGATATGAATATCAAAGTACAGTGGGCCCTCGACTTACGAACAGCCCTAGTTGTGAATGTTTCGGGTTATGAACCCTGTCTCATCGCAAGTAGCAGACCCTACTTGCGAATGCAGATCAAGTTACGAACCCAAAAGGCAGGGAGAAAGGGCAGGAAATTTGAATTTGGAGCTTTCCTCCCTTTGGAGCTTTCAAAAAACTTCCTCCTATGTTAACATTGGGTGAAAGGAGGGAGACTATTTTTCCCCGGTCGCCCTGCTTGCTTCTCCATGGGAGGACTTAGGCCGGAATGGATTAATTGGTTTCCAGTGCATTCCTATGGGAAATGCTGGCTCGATTTATGAACTTTCCAATTTACGAACTGACTTCCGGAACGGATTACTTCTCCATGGCTCGTAAATCGTGGGTTGACTGTATAAGATACCATTTTTTGTAAATCGAGCGTTGATTGTATAAGATACCATTTCATAAATCGTGGGTTGACTGTATAAGATACCATTTTTTGTTTCTGTTCTCAAAAACCTGTATTGTAATGCAAATCGGAATTAATGCAGAACAGCAATTCCAAATATGCCGTGCTACATCAGCAACTGTATTTTTTAAAGCAACAAAGAATTCCTGGAATTCACATCATAGGAACTTGGGTATAAGTGCTGTCATACTCAGTAGAGCTTACTTTAGTTGACATATAGGGTATTTTACTACAGTGGTGCCCTGCATGACGACGATAACTGTCCCGTGAAAATTGCTGTTTAGTGAAATCATCATGTGAAAACCCTTTCCCCACTGGAATGCATTGAAAACCGATTTAATGCATTCCAATAGGGAAAACACTTCGTTGTCCAGTGAAGATCACCCATAGGGAAGCCATTTTGTGAGCGCCAATCAGCTGTAAAAATGGCTACCCTGCGAAACGTGGGTCCGGAAAATACAGGGCAGCCATTTTGCAGAGCTGGAAGAATCTTCATGCGAACAAACGGTTTGCGAAGCACGGACCTAATCGACGTCCAGCTAAAATCCCCCCATAGGAATGACTGTTTTGCAAATCGCTACAGCGATCGCAAAAAGTCATCATTGCGGATTCGTTGTTTAGCGGGGTCATCATTTAGCAAGGTACCATTGTATTGATAAAGGCCTTAGTTACTACAATATCTGCTTACTTAATTCACATCAGTTATGTTTTGTTATAGGATAAGTCTGAGGAAAAGAAAGGCCACACTAAAGGGAAGAAGGGACCAAAAGGAAAACAAACTGAGGAGATTAAGGAAGAGGAAGTAAAGGATAGCTTGCCAGCAGAAAATGGAGAAGCAAAGAATGATGATGTGAGTGTTCATACATGTTATGTATTTCATTGTCCTTTTCTAATTTTAACTCACCTGTAAGTACTGCTGGGTTGGAGCCAGAAGAATGGACACATTATGTTGCATTCCATCAGTCCATTGGATATTGTCAGAGGACAAACAATTTAAGATTTGTTGATCCTGTTTTAAGTATTAAATAGATTAGTGAAAGGGAGATGAGGAAACAAGATGAAGATTGTGGACAACAAACATGTTGTTTATATATCCACATTTGGTGATAGATTTAATTTAATACTTCACAAACCTTTAGATTCTGAATTAGTCAGAAAATAAATACTGTGCTTGTAATACATTAAGCTTTGGAAGAGGTTTAGCTTAATCTAATTTACAACTGAGTTTTTTTAAGCTAACCATGTACATTTGATTTCATAGTTTACAAATCTGCCAAGTGATAGACAGGATTAGGTAGCTATGTTTGAGAACAATCAGAATGTTCTTCATAGATCATTAGCAGTATGCTGAACCTGGGTACGGAAACATGGAAATTCTAGATTACAAATATATTTTATGTGAGTTGATGTATAATTTTAAAAATGTCTTTCTTGGTAGGTACAGAATTAATAAAATCAATGAAAGCTCACTGAACAGAGTAATTCAAACAGCAGCTTTTAGACATGAATTAATATAATGGCCTATGCATCTCACCAGTACAGATTATGTATTCATTTTTTTTAATAGCCAAGAATGATTGTTTTTCTATTTAAGGATTTAATATATTATGCTAATCTGTCTGAACTAAACAGAAAAGGTGAAACCGGTTGTTCTAAAATGTTCCACTACAGTTTTGTTCTAGGTAAAGGTATAAAAAGAAAATTCTTTTGGACTTAATGCAGTTTCAAGTTTGAGTAAAAAAATGCTTAAGGTTTTAAAACATTTTAAGGGCTTCCAAGTATTAGCCTGAAGACAAATGTTTATATATTTTTAAATGAAAATTTCTTTTTTTCAGGTCCCAGTAGCTGATGCAGCAGGAGAGAAGGAAACAAAATCTGAATAATGTCTTTGTACAAAGTCTTTAATCAGTGGTTCCTGTACCACCATCTTGTACAATTCAGAGGAATATTTTTATCAACTATTTTGTAAATGCAAGTTTTTTAGTGGTTTTAGAATAAACATTTTTTAAACATGAGGGATTTCCCCTATATCCCATTTAACATAGCTGAGTATAAATGTTTCCTTTTAAAAGGTGAAAATCATGCTCTGGTTGTCTATTCTCGGTACAACCAACAATCAATGGAATGTTCTATTAAGAAGTGTCCAGATCTTAATTACAGTGTAGTCCTATGCATATTTACTTAGAAGCAAGGCCCACTGATTTCAGTGGCACTTACTCTTTAGCAAGTGTGCGCTGGATTCTAGCATTAACATTCCACAGGCCAGGGTGGGCAGTTTGCAGTACACATTAGGCCCATGAAATTATCTTTATGCAGAAGTTTAATCACTGAATTTAGCTTCATTTCTTTAAATTTCTAGCTGGTGCACTTGCAGTTTGGTTGAAATTTGCAGTTTGCTTATTGTGGGCCGGTATGGACCTCAGAAAAAGACAAGTTATTCACCCTTTCTGGAGACTGGGGGATGGTTTTATGAATTGTTAACAGAAGTATAGCACAGAAAAAATGTTGACGTGATAAATAAGAAAATGTTTTCACATTTATCTTCCCAATTTGTCATCTGTAGACCACTTCTTCAAAGATAATTGTTCCCTGGTGTTGGATCTCCTTTCCAGATTTGTTTTATCTGTGAAAGAGTTATTTTTGGTAGTGGTAGTTTTATTTTTTCAACAGCTTTGTAATGTGTTGTGGAAGATTGGAAATATGGGTGTGTAGTGTGTGTGTGTGTATGGTCAGTTACTGAGTAGACAGTTTTTCTGGTTAAGCAGACATAACTTCACAAGACAGTATTTGAGACACTGGTACTTTTCTACTTTGAATTAATAGACTGTCAAGAAAGTTGTAATGTAAAAGTTGAATGTAAACCATGGCAGATTACCATGGTTTACATTCAATTATTGGACAAGAGATCTCTACAAATAATGTCTGTGATTCATCCAAGACGTTTCAATAAAATATTGGTTATAAATGTTTTGCTGTTGTTTTTTTAATGTGATGGTAAGCAATATTCTATTTAGGTATTAAAAACAAGGTTTTCATGAATGAAAATATTCTGAATTAAGATTTAGTGGCATGAGTTGCTTTTCTCCGAAAACAAAAGGTATAACTACTGTCATTCACAAAAAGTGGTGCCTTGCTTTACTATTGCCACGCATGACGACAAATCTGCTTTACGACGATCTTTTTGCGATCACAAAACGATGGTCTAAAGGGGAATTTCTGGAACCGATTCTTCGCAAAGCGATGATTTTTCAACAGCTGATTGGTGGTTTCAAAATGGCCGCTGGGTAATTAAAATGTCTCCCCGCTGTGTGTAGGGACTGATTCCTCGCTATACAGGCAGTGAAAATGGCCGCCATATGGAGGATCTTCGCTGGACGATGCGTTTTAAGCCCATTGGAACGCATTGAAAGGTTTTCAGTGCATTTCAATGGGCTTTTCATTTGCTTTATGATGTTTTTGCTTAACGGCGATTTTCCTGGAACGGATTATTGCCGTTAAGTGAGGCACCACTGTATCTAGCTTGTTGTAAGTGTTGTGCTGCCCTTATGCAAATTACTCCTTCTGTGCTCATCCACCATAGCTGTTCAGAAGAACATATGCAAGCACCAAGGATCTTATGTCCATGAGAGGAATACTGTATTTTCTCTGCATAAGATGCCCTAATATATGATGCCCCACCCCCCACTTTTCTAACCCAAAATTGAGAAATCTAACAAGGGGCTTAGCAAATGGAGGGGGAAAGGGATCAAAGCACTGCAGGATCACTTTGATCTTTGCTTTCTCCCTTTGTGCCAAGCCTCACGGGGCTTAGCAAAAGGAGGGGGAAGGGATCAAAGCAAACCCACAGCTGCACACTCGCTTTGATCCTTTCCCCCCTCGAGCAACTGCAGGATTGCTTTGATCCCTGCTTTCCCCTCCACTTGCTAGACCCCATGGAACTTAGGGGCCACCTAAAAAGGTCAACAGGCAAACCTGGCATTTAAGGGAAACTATCTGATTAATTTGACACAGATCTCATTTTGGCATTAATGAGCGGGTGCCATCATCAGAAGAGGTCAATGGTCAATGCAGTTTGGCTTGGACGTATTTTTCTTTTCCCCTTCCTGGACTCTGTGAACTTTTGATAATAGTATCTGGAGGTTTTCTGGAGAAGAAAGAAGGAGCTGAGGTGGTTGACTGGACTGAGGAGTATCAACGGGTTAACGGAAAGATCATAAGATGGGCTTCAAGGACAACTACTGGACAGTCTGAGACTGTGACTTGTTTGGTTTGTCGGACTGCTTGTGAGTCTGATAATAGACTCTGATAATAGACTCAGAAGAAGAAATAATTGTGCCACGGTTCTATTTGAATTTGCTGGGTTAAAAGTTGATTTTTATATTATAATATTTGGATAAAGATTGGAGGGAGATCTAAGAGGAAGTTTATGATTATGGGTTTGGATTGTTGATAAAATTGTAGAAACTTAAAGGATATTTAAGGGGTGATCATTGTTGTTAAGGACATAGTATCATCTCTAGTATACAAACCCCACTCATTGGAAA